CTTCCTTCTGGCTTTTTGACCATTATCGTGGCATCCAGTATATGAAGAGAATTGACTCACAGCACTGCAAGCCTTTTAGGCTCACGTCTGAGCTGAAAAGTGAGTTTTTCGACTCTCTTGGTGGTGATTTGATCCTCCTATGACACAAATCAACTTTGACGAACTCATTCATGCCTTGTCGATTTCTTTGTCTTTCGCAAGGATGGAATCTGCGATTTATGGGATGTTCATGAGGTTAACTGGGGTAAAATTGGTCGAAGCTCCGCCTCTACCACTTTGAGCGGTTGAGAATCATCTCTGAGACAATACGTTGTAGGCGGAACAATCATATTCGGTACATACGGCTCACCCACTAGTCTCTATCAACGCTCAACCTCCTCCAGAGCTATACGACACCTGGAAACACCAGATACTAACATGTGATGGTAACTTTCCAGGTCGTTCGTGCTGTACTGAACCCGGAGAGGACGGTATTAGTAGCAATGTGAAAGTCAACTAAAAGCAACGAAAGAACTTCTATCAGAGGTAACGCCAGGCTGGCTGGCTAGGGTTGCAACTCTTAAAAGGTTCGTCGCTGTTCCCTCAAGGATGGTTGCTCGTGCATCATGTATCGTTGAGTTGGCCCCAGTACAGGCGGCCACAAACAAATCACGGTGAGGATTGTATTGATAACCGACTGTCCTACACCCCCTCTCATTCAGCGTACGTGCGCTCCTCGAAGTCTATTCCATCCTGCAATTACTTAATTGTTTCATTGACCGCAGGAGGTGTTCGGAGAGGGGGGAAGTCCGGGCAGAGATGCAGTCTCGCTTTAGCCAACTGTACCACTCGCGTAGGATCTGGAAATACGCACGTTGCTGTGTCAATCAAGTCTCAATTTTCTTGCCATCCGACTACTCAAGCGGTTGCTGGCACTCTCCAAGCCCTTCTCAACTGCGCGCTCGCTGGCAAATTTCGGAGAATAATCGACCAAGATCTTCTGCGTTCGATGGCCCACAACTTTGATCGCAACATTACCGCTCTGCTGAACCTCCATGAGCTCCGCCAGTGCTTTCTCTCCCTGAACAGCTTCTTCGGGAATTTCGAGGAACACAGAATCCAAGCCTGCCACTCCTTCTCGCGTTGTGATGCGAGAAAGAACAACGGCCTCCATCATGCGCAGCTCTTTACTCCTGCACCATCCTCCACTCAGCTCCAACCTCAGGCTTTGAAGGGCCGGGAGGAAAAGGTTCGAATGAGGATCGTGGTCAATTTCCAGCGACAGAAGGTCGTTGAGGAAGACCCCCTGGAGTAACCTGGATCGAGGATTGCTTTCCGGGACTTCTGCTTCGCGAAAGCTGAAGTGTCTTAGAGACGTTAATAACTCCAAGAGACGAGAGAGCGAGCCATCCGTTGTGCGAACCCCCTCGAGCCTAAGGGATGTTAACGTCTCGGTACACCTAGATCGCCCTGATACAAACGAAATGATGGCGTTGAAGAACTCGTCTGTCAGGGCCGTGAAATGTTCGGCACTCTCGAGTTCATGCGCCCTGTACTGCGTCGAGGAGCTGATAAGGGCAAGAGATATCAGACATGGGCAGTGTAGCAAACCCACGGCCTTCTGAACCGCTTGGTACCCCCAGTCGCTGAAATGAATGGAGAAGGTGAGGAAGATGAGATTGGGAAACGTTATCAAATCCCGCGCCGGATACCAGAAAGGCTCCCCCGGTGCCGATTCGAAACCTCCACCAACCAGACGAAGGTTTAGGGTCCTGATTTGCGAGCACGAAGACAGGATGTGTGGAAGATCGGATAAAACCGACACCTGGAACGACAGGTTCTGGAGTTGGGAATACGGAAAATCCCATTCGCGAGTAAACGCGATGGCAGGGGCAAAGAACCGTACCGAGAACGATTTGAGGTAAGGGAATGTCGTATGGCGCACCAGATCGGCGAGGAGCTGAATCTCGATGCCTCCAGCTCTGGGTACGCCAAACGATAAGGATTCGAGGATTGTTTCTGAGCTGATCGTCGATCCAGGTGATTGGACGAGCCCCATTTCCTGCAAAGCGTCGACCGGTAGACTATCTATCTCGAGGTGGCGCATTCGGGAAGAATAATTAGAAAGGAGAGCGTAAAGGGCCGAGAGCTCTCGCTTTGCTACCTCCCCTTGAAATTGAAGTACACCCAATTGGATCCTTATCGGTGATTGACCCGAGCGCGTCAAGTGTAAAAGCAGGAAATCTCGACAAGTGCTCATGAACTCGAACGTTCGAGAGCCTGGATATATCGCCAATTCGGCCCACAACTCGGAGGTGTCGATGGCTATGGACCTCCAACGTGAGCACACATGAGAAAGAACCATGGCCTGAGATAGAAATACGAGTTTGAGGGATACCCCCAATATGGTTGCACCGTTAGGATTCAGTGTCGAGGCAAATACTTGAATGAAAATCTCGGTTGGAAGTCGTCGGATCGGGTGACATTTCAAGTTTGGCATTTCTGCAAGATCGCGTCGCTTTACATCGGCCGTGGAACTTTGAGATAGTGAGATACGTACCCGCGGTCAGGTTCTCAAAGACGCGGAACCAAATACTCTTGTCCTCTTTATATACCTTCGTGCCAGGCACAACCTTGAGGTTCTTATCAGTCCGATCATCTGACGTGGACTCATTGGCCGGCAGAAGAAGTTTAAACTGCACTATGATACACCAGACGTTGTCCACAATCCATTGGCAAGCCACGAATACTTTCTCTGCGAACTCCTGACTTGGAATGAAGACACAATCCAAAACAAATAAGGGAATAAGGGTTTGGCGAGTGAGTGTCATGAACACGAGAAAGCCGACCGTTTTTGCCCTCAAACATACGCTTTGATTTCTTAGTCTGAGCACCCTACTCCCTGTTCTCTGTTTCCCCCGTTGGTGCCTCTGGCTCATCCCTTGTGCGTGCCACTCCATAATCTGCAAACATCATCTCGATATACCCAGAGCGTTCGGATTCGAAGCCCAGATGTTCATTTGTGCTCCCACCATGGATGCTGTCTTCTGAGGCTGCTTTGCGAATATGAAGAATGGCGTGGCTAGCGAGAATTGAGTGGAGAATCCGTTCAAATCTGTAGGAGAGGATAAGCTGGACCGGTCAAACGTTTGAGTGTTCAGGAGCGTACGGGGAGATTATGTGAGTGTAGGAGAGCTAGTTGGTGGATTAGTCGGCTGTACTTTTCGTTTCCAATATGAAGAACGAGGTGCAGACTCACTGGTAAGGTTACTATGATTACGACGTTGATGAGTGATACCACTATCATATTTGCGTTCGTGAGTTAGCACATATCTTGGACCTCAGTAAGCGCTCACAGAATATCAAGCCATAGTACACAACACCTAATCCACGCGAAACGTTGATCAATAGAGGACAGACGTTGGTTAGATGGACTCACCATCTCGATAAATAACCTTCACAAGGTGAGAATGCCCCCCGGATCGAACTAAAACTTAGTTTGGCACTTGTTTTGATGTATAGAACCTCAAGAATCATACAAGCTTTGAATCCGGGTACGGCCATGAGGGCGAAACTGACTGGAGACGAGATCGACTCGAGCCTCGGAGACATTTATAGTACTAAATAACGTACCAGTGTCATAGACCATGAGCAAGGCCCAGCACACGACGATATCCTTGTTCGATATCAGGTAGAAGCATTCTCCGAACCCAGCGATACCGGGGATCGGAGTCGGGTCGGGAACTAGAAAATAATCGGAGGTGAACCAAAAAAATAGATTCCACGAAAAGGTACTGACATTGAACGCCTTTGACGAACATGTTGTAGAAAATTAATGCTGGCACGACGCAGCCTACGATCATCCCGAGTAGAATTGTTGTAATCATGCGACCGCGATGCCAAACGGCCCATATTCGAAGGCTTAGGACGACTGTCAAGCAGCGATGAGAATATGGAAATTTACGGGCCCGGGAAGAGTCTGACGTTCGGAAACAGCGATTCCAGCCAAAGCCGTCCCTAAAGATTTAAATGAGCTGTAGTGGAACCACCAGATAGTAAGGAGAGAGGAGATGCTGACAAGCACTGAAATTATAGGTCAGAGCACACTGGCTTGCGCTCGTCGGTCCTAACATGACTGCGAGGTGTCGAGCTAATGTTGACTGACCTAGACAACCAAACTCACAGTATAGATCCAGCACCACCCTGTCGAAAAGGGGTAGATATCGTTGAACGAGGTAAAGCAAATTAAACCCTGCCCCTGTAAGTCGGACTGGGCTCTTTCTGGGATCCATCGATGCCCAGATGTATCTCAGCTCAAGGTCTAGACTGAGGAGAGCGTCGTAAAGCCATAAGACCCCTCCAGCCGCTAGTTTGAAAAGGGTAAGAAAAAGACCTTATGGCGTCGGAACGGAGGTGTCGCTCAATTTGCGTACCATTGAAGTACTTTCGGAGAATACAAACTAAATGAGAGCTGAGTAAACGCGGAAAAACGAACAACTCACTCGCACAAGCATCTCGTGTTCAAAGGTCGTCGCCAAATCAACCTCGGGAGGAATTTGAGCTTGCGGGACAACAGACATTGGCTCTGTTTCTGAGGTAAAGGTTAACAGCCCGGCATCGAGGCTGAGAAGGGAGCCGTTGAGAGAATGGGACTATATAAACGATTCTTCTGAAGCTTCCTACGTCACGCGAACAATGATACTTCTGATGGAAATTATCGGTTGGTATTGATCAAGATTCAGGGTCGGCCCCATTTCGGAGTCAGAAAGCGACCGCACGAGCCAGCAACACATGATCGCCCAGATACAACTGAGTGGCAAGTCGGAGTCTCTTCATGAGGTAGGGGCTCGGTTAGAGTGTGGCCCCTGGAAGGGTTTCAACGAGAGGACGTTTCACATCAATTTGAATACCTTTTGTTAAATTGTCGTGAACCAACACTGCTGGTACTCACCGTGCCACCATCACAGAAAGTATCTGAGACGAATAGCAGGAGAAGTCCTCGTGCGATCAAAAAAGAATCAGGGCCTGACCGGGAATTGAACCCGGGACCTCCTCGATAGAAAGCTTTTGCACCCTAACAAGGAATCATACTACTAGACCATCAGGCCGTTGCGATAACGTTTGATTAGAACTCCATATCGAACAAGGGCGGATATTTAGAATGAAGAACGGTGAGTTGGCGAGAACTGTGACAGAAAACGAACTAGGATGTTCTGTTACATCCTCGCCCAAGTTGTCTATTCACTGTATATGATCACTCGAATCTCGCCCCTCCCCCCTACACAGGCGATGAACATCAACCTTGCAGGTTTTCAAAGACGTGGACAGCAGTAGCCTGGACTGAATCCTGTTGCTTGCGGGAGGAGCAATCTCTCCAAATTGTACCCGGTAGTATCGTCCTGAGCTGCTTTATTCAAATTTTCGCTGCTGACTCGCCAACCAAAACAACGCCGGTGGCTACATCAGCAAGATGCTGATTCTACCACAATATTGTCACTACTCGTCTTGGTGGTTTGAGGGGGTCTCACTTCACGCGACTTTGAGATTTCCCTGCATCTTGCGTCTTCAAGTACAGTACCATCGCGCGTGGAATTGTGACTAGGCGTCATGATTTACCTCCTTGGTGATTTGAATTCTCCATTATCTCGATGGATTTATGGCGTACTTGCCGTTCTCGACCTCGTCTTACACGCTTATGAACACCGGAATCGAAAATCAGCGTGGAGCTTCAACCCGGAGTGGACTCGGCCCTATACAGCACTACGCACCGCCTCAATTCGGCGGCAGAAGTGAGCTGCGATGCTATTTACTTCTGAGCTACAATCTCGGTGCTATGGGCATCGGTACGCTCTTCGGGGGCACGGGCGTCATGCTTACGTCCTTCAGAACATTATGGGGTATATGGGGGGGTGCTTCAACCACGAAATATCCCTCATAAGTCGCTTCGTCTGCCATCAAATGAGTGTCTTCAGTGAATGATTAGAGCGTAAGTCCTCACACTAATTTTTGGTATCTGGTCTCATGCGAGCGCCTCCTGAAATCAGCGTTGCTCCAGAAACGCGACTCATTTATTACCCTGGAAGTCCGGTGAGGGCACAACTCAGAAATCACGACTATCACGGAATCCTTGAGTAGCTGGTGCATATCCTGGTAAGTAGACTGATCGGACTTGATGGGCCATTCGGTGCATTCGGATTTGCCGTTGTTGTTGTGACGTTGCTAGATGGTATCCAAGCTCCTACCATCCGATATCTGATTGATGACTGCGCTTTCTTGAGTATGAACGACGATCCCGCGAGCCAAAGCCAGGCCTCAGACATAGCCGAGATTCGACAGATGCCGGGATTCTCACCCTTCCTCGGCTTCCGCAAGAGTCGCCTTATTCTCGAAGTGACCAACTCACAAATCGAGCTAATGACGCATGACATGCGCCGGTAATGCTAGGTATTCTGGTACACCCCGAGAATACCCACTAAGGCCCTCCGAGACCCTCTGAAACCGCACTTCGGGGGGCCAGAAGTCTTTAAGGGGTTTCGGGCCTCAGGCCGTAAGTTGCATTCTTGACAGCTCCTCGGGGCTCGGGGTGTGGTTCGGTGGCACGTATGATTGAGAAGCTGATACTACTGAGTACATATGTGAGTAATTCTCTATTCTGTGATCTCATGCTCGACACCCGAGACCTCCTGGGCGTCAGCGCTGTCGAACTTCTATCGATTGAGTTCACGTCGATGTCATGGCCAGGACGAATTCAATCGGGTTCGAATCTATATATTATTCTTTTATTTGGTATACTTCTTCTAACGTGTATCTATTGACTCTCATCGTGGGGTATGGGTTCATAAAAAACAGATTGTCCTTGTTTCGAGTACGAAGACTACAACATATAACAAATCATCCACAGCCGTGTCCATCGTAGCGTATACTGAGTGAATAGATCCGATTACTGAGCATTGGCAAAGCCCTTGATCAACGCCTGAACGATAGCAATGGCGCTACTCGTAGGCACACTGGTGACGCTGCTACTCACAGCAGTTCCGGAGACTGTGAAAGAAGAGCAGTACGGGATGCTGGTCGGGAAAGCCGTAGTCGTACCACCGACAACGGTCGTGGGGATCACAGTCACAGTGATGGTGGCCCCCTCTCCGATAGTCGAGGTTATGGTGGGAATGCCAGTGACTGTCGTACCTCCGATGAGGATGGTGGTGGTGCCTCCTCCCGCACCGACGGAGACGGCGGAGGTAATTGGACTGGCGATCCCGGAAGCAAAGGTAGTCGGGAGGACTGTGCCAGAAACAACGGTTGTAGGGAAGACGGTCCCAGAACCAATGGTAGTGGGGACAAGTGTACCAGAGGCGACGGTGGTGGGGAAGACGGTACCAGAAAGGACGGTGGTAGGGACTACCGTCCCAGAGATAACGGTGGTCGGGAGAACTGTGCCGGTGATAACTGTGGTGGGGACAGCTGTGCCAGTGCCGACGGTGGTAGGAAGAACCGTTCCAGAAGCAACAGTGGTGGGGAAGACCGTACCAGAAGCGACGGAGCTGATGATTGTGCCGGAAGCAACAGTGGTAGGGACTGTGCCTGAGGCGACGGAAGAGCTGACGATGCCACTACTGGTACCCCCGACAGGGCCTGAAGATGGGAAAGCGATAGAGGTGGGGAAGGCACTGCTGGACGCAATGCCAGTGGGGGCGCCGACCGATCCAGAAATCACAGAACTTGAAACCGGCGGGTTAGCAATGCAGATCGAGGGCAAAGCACTACTGGTTACGGCGCTAGCAGAGACGGTCGAAGTGATGGTGATGGCACTGGCAGAAGCGGTCGAGGTGATAGCGATCCCACTGCTGATAGTAACAGCCGAGGTGATGCCAGACGCGGTGACTGTCACTGGGCTTGCAGCAGAGGTGACTGTAAACTCCTGTGGGGCGGGAGCCTGGGGAGACGCGGTCAGTATGAACGTCAACTTCGACTATGAAAAACATGCATACCGCGAAGGCGAGAGAGAACAAGGTCGCTAAAGTGACAGTCCTAAGCAAAGATTCCATCGGATTTGTTAACTCGAAGCGTCGTTAAAGGAATAGGCGGAAGTGGGCTTGAAGAAACCTTCAGCTGGCATAGGACTGCTATTTAACTGTCAGCAAAAACGCGGCTTCGGGCACTCGGAGGTGTGGCTGAATGCGGACCTGGCTTACTCTGGTCGATCCGCAGCATCAAGTTGTTTCTTCCGTTGCTTGCTGCGGAGGCAACGATCCTGCATTCATTTGATGCTGCTTGTAAGGGTTTCACGGTACTGAATGAGGTTCGGACTTAGCCGTGATGATTCGTGAATTGCGACCATCATGCGTATAGAATGGCATATCGGAAGTAAGTATGATGACACGACGGTCTGAGAAGCCCGCCTTCTTGGAGCCCTAGAAGTGCATCAAGCAGTTCCGTGTGTGTTCGATCGCATTGAGGAGAGATATCAATGGACCACCATAAACTAGCAGTTATTGGAAGTACGACAGCTGCAAGAACTGAGGCCTGAGATGTAGAGCTTACTTCAGGTCAAGACCTCCTGGAACATGAAATCGAGCGAGTGTGTATTTACCTTGGTATGAAGACGTGCGTACCTGAGCGACTGCGGAAAATCCACACGGTGCTGAAAGTGTGCTATCTACACAGCAATCGAAGTTTTGTGAGCCTCGAGAGTTTTACGCCGAGAATCCCCCTCCCAACCTTGCTCCTCCCGACCTCGGCGGATAGTCCTCGGGTTCGGCGAGCGACGTTCGAGTGTCATGGTTTCCCAGAGGTGACTGCTGAGCATCGAGAGGATGGATGTAAGTGACTGGCATCAACGTCCAGGAATCAGGCCAAGTATAATTTCGAACCGGCCTGAACCGGCCACGGCCTGCCTGCACCGTCCGAACGAAATTGCCTGCCCTCAAATCGGGCCGCTCTTATTCCGTAAGCATTGAGCGTTTCCGAACGTTTTTCGCCCGAGAATTGTTCCATGGTTTCCCTCCGACTTCAACCCTTTCTTCATGCCCACCACCACGTCCAAACTTCATTACTGTCAATTGTAGCTACTATCACTCAGAAATCCATGCGAGATATAAACACGCCTCTGATTTTATGGCTACTCACATCATCATCCTCAGATCTAAAACGCTGGTCAAATGGCTGCTAAAGCTTAATCCCCGTGGATTGCTCGAAGTATTGACGGGTGGACTGATGAATAGCCAGAGAAGATGTGCGCGAGATCTCAATGTGTTTATGCCTTCTATCGTACGCTTACACTCGTCGTTTCCTTTGTCTCTCAAACTTCTATCATTTTTTGACGGTTTCGCTGTTTCATTAACTATGACCCTTTGTTCAGAACGATCTACTGACCACTGTATCTCTTGGAACATCTAGGCTTCCCAAGATACAAAAGAGCTCTCAAATTCAAGATATTCGAGTATACCCTCTTCTTTACCCCCCGTCTCCCAGCTCCGACTTGCGGAGCAGAGAGGAAATGGGGCTCAACCGAACTATTGCCAGCGTCGAAAAACCGTTTTTGCTATCCCCTTCTCACCCCAGAAGTTGCTTTGGAGTAAAGCCAGTTGCCATTCGCTTGCCGTGTTTGCCCTGTCTCCTTTTGCACTGCCCCTTTTTGGGAATCCCTGTCTTCAACCACACTTCAACGAACATATACACTCTTGGATTGGCATCTTGGGGTACAAGATTCTGATTCGTGATAGATCCCCTGCAGTCCTATGATCACCTCACTTCCACGGTTGGTATTCTTTCGACTTCAACCCTTGGTCGTGTCACCAACGATTCTCGTGGGCTCAACCTGCCATTGTCTTACTCCCCTTGTGTCTTGGATAGCTTGATCTTGGTTCTTTCTAGGCTCTACATCTGCCTCACAATGGGCAATTCGAGCCTTATCGCTACTTTCGTTGATTTTATTCAATGCAGGGTTCATGACGATCGTTGAGGTTTTGCACTTTCTTCATGACTATTCTTCGCGCGTCAGACGCCTTCCTTACGCTGGAAACAAGCATCATACTGCCTCTCTTAGCTTGTCGCCCCTCCCAACTCCCCTTTTCACGATTGCGGCTTGACTATTGTTTTCACCCCTCCC